TTGGAGAGATCAAGATATCTCAAGTATATTAGCTTGACGATTGAGGCTGACAACTCCTTGATGCCTGACCTGGACAAATTTAAAACTCTCAAGAACTGAAAGCTCAATAGCATATCATCAGATATATTGCTTTTCCAGAACAATGTGCACAAACGTCCTGGCTCATATATCTTATCTATTTGATCACTTGGTGATTCCCATCCAAAGTATCGAACTTGAGAAAGTTTTTCTCCATTGTCTCCCTTCGGATCAAATAGTCTAGATTTTAAGATATCTCCAGCCAAATCATGCACAAGATCATGCATCTTACAGTGTGTTGTATTGTTGTACTTATCTAGATTAACATCCTGCAGCAAGGAATATTGTAACAAGAGTTGGAAAAACTTGTTCCCAACGTCTTCCATCACAGGGGTCTCTTGACATGGACGAAGAAACCCTTCTGCCATCCAGAGTTGGATTAGTTGGTCCTTTTCAAACTGAAAATCTTTTGGAAATATTGCAAAGTAAGAAAAACATTTCTTCAGATGTGGAGATGGTAGATAATCATAACTGAGTTTTAGGATATTCTTAATGCTATCTTCAGATGCAACAAGGGAGCTGCCATCAAGTATTGCCTGCCATTCATGTTTTTCCTTGTTACAAAAGAGGCCTCCCAACACACTAGCAGCCAAAGGTAGACCTTGACACATTTCAACAATCTTGTTCTCCACACTCAGTATTTCCTCGGGAACTTCCCCATCAACAAATGCTCGTTGTTTGAAAATGGACCAACAATGATCATCTGTTAATTTCCCCAACTTATGAAGATCTGCTGCTACTATGGATGCCACTTGCTTCGAACGAGTAGTCACGAGAATGCAGTTTCCTCTGGATGTATTTATTCCCCTCAAGGTGTCCAAGAACTCGTGCCACGAAGTAGAGTCAACACGCCACAAATCATCCAGGACAAGCAAATACTGTTTTTCTCCCAATGCATCTCGGAGCTTCTTGACTATTATATCTCTGCTCTGGACCTCAACTTTCCTCTCTGTCAATGATTCGAGGATCAGTTCAAGAAAGCTCTTAATTTCAGACATTTCAGGTAGACACAACCAAATTCTCTTTTCAAAGTGTTTCTCGATGTGTTGGTCATTGAAAATCCTCTTAGCCAGAGTAGTTTTCCCTAAACCCCCCATACCGACTATGGGAATGGTGCACAGAACAGCATCCTTTCTCATGTTCAAAATCTTCTCCTTTATTACAGCAACATCTTTGTCTCTACCAACAACATCTGAAGGAACTTATTTCAGCAACATCTTTGTCTCTACCAACAACATCTGAAGGAACTACTGCAGAATCTGTTTCTCGGATTTGTAATATTTTCCGAGACGGAACCGTCAGTGATTGGAGACCGAGGTTGTTGGCTAACTGATTGATATCCCTCAACTCTTCATTGATCTTATTGATTTTTCGAGACATTTTGTACTTGAAAGCAGTATGAGAAAAGAAGTGACTGACCTTTTCCATTAGTTTGGCTCGGTTGTTCATCACTTTTGCTTTGATAGATTCATATGTGAATTTGTCAAACACATTTTTAGCATCTTCAGCAATTCTCTCAAGCATCTTGAGCCATTCTTCCACAGCCTTATCTTCGACTTGTCGTCTTTCAGCATCATGAATGAAAGCTTGGATCATGGTTACATATCTTGACAGCATTCTGAGATTTTTCTTGCAGTTCCTTAAATTTCTGGCCTCCTCAATTGTGAGAGAAAGTAGCTTCTCAAGCACAACCTGAACAGTAGCACCAATTACAGGGTCGGCCATTGTTATTTTTTCTCCTTAATTCACACAAAGTCCTCTTCTTCCTCTACACCAAAGTTTTTGCACAAATCTTCTTTTGCTAGTTGTTTGCCCACCACTAAAGAAAAGAATAATCCCAACACTAACGTAAAGAATAATCCCAACACTAAAGTAAAGAATAATTCATACACAATAATTGACATAAAGAATAGCTTTAATTTTGGGTGGTCGTTCTGTTACTTTTTATTTCTAATGAATGGCAGTCACTTTTCATTATGATTTTGAATAATGCAACCTAATCATCACATCATATATCGTTCTCGTGTCATATAAAAATGGAAATAAAAAAAAGATTGAAAATTGAAATATCATAATAATCTTATAAAGTTGAGTTACTCCATTAATGTCATTAAAAATAGAAATAAATTATTACTTTATAAACTCTAAAAACTAAATTATGTCTAATTAATTAAAATATTAAATAAATCATATCATATTATGTTAACTAAATACTAAATATTATATCATATTATACTAAATATTAAATAGTAATCATATCATATTACAAAGAAAAAAATATATATATCTATAATTTGGATTGTCATTTTTGCCCTATGATAAATTAGATAATTAATTAAATTAAGTAATATTATTTTTTCCCTTTAAGTTAAAAAACATCTGTTAAATAACTTTTTCAATTATATGAATTGATTTTGATTGGGGAATGGCGAAGTGGTACTTTAATGCTCACACAAATGACATTCATGTTATACAAAATTAATTGCTTTAAATTCATAGATTTTTTTTATCACCATATAACTTTTACAATTCCTATTTATTTTTGTCTTTTGATTCTCTTAACTAATTGGCTTTTCAAAATTTAAAACTTTTAAATTAATAACCTAATTGTTAATATAAAGATTAGTAGAATTTGACTAGTTCATTAAATAATTAAATGTTGGTTGATTTAATTTAATAAATATATATATGTTAAAAGGAATTTTAAAGAACAACATCAAGAAACACTATATAAAGATAACAAATGATTTCCATTTTCCTCAAGTTTTTTTTGGATTGAACAGATTTTTTGTTAAGAAAAAATTGACCTTCCTTTTCATTTCTTATCCCCCCCCCCCCCTCATACTGCATGAACTAATATTTAAAAAATAAATAAAAGGCCAAAAGGCCTGAATTATAATACAAATTACTTGAATGAGTACCTTTTAATAAATAATTATTGATTTTTAGCGATAGGGAAAATTGTATAAAATAGCAAACTATTTAATTCAAAATTAAATGGTATAGCCATAGTTTCTTTTATTTGTAATTCGCAGCAAACATTCCATGTTTTTTGCCACATCTCATTTGTATATCGAAATATAACCATTCGGTATACATATTTGTTGTATAAAAATTAATTACAGGACACATTTGTATACCATGTATACCGAAATATACAAATGCAGGACCCATTTGTAGACCGAATGTATACCGAAATATACAAATGCAGAACCCATTTGTATATCAAAATATACAAATGCAAGATCTATTTGTATATCGAAATATACAAATGCAGGACCCATTTGTATACCGAAATATACAAATAGACCCAAATACATATTTTTTTATGTATGTGTAAACCTAAATATTTAACTTTCACATATAGCAAACATAAAAATCATATTTGTATGTTATAGCTATAGTTTGTATAATTG